TTATAATATAATTAACTGATTTTATTATCTAACTATGATAATATTCAATTAGAAAGATATTAAATGATGAAAATCTATCTCAGTAAATAATTTATCTTGCTAAATAATTGATTATATTTATAATTAAAAAATGATTTAAAGTTAATTTTAATTTTTAATATTTTTATTAAATAATTTAGTAAAATATAACTATATAAAATTTAAAAATAAAAAGTTTTATATTATATTTTATTAAAATAATTACTATAATTTCTTTTTAATAAATTAAATAATATATATATTTAATTAATAAATAATATATAAAGATTTTTAATTTAAAATATATTTTTAAATATTATTAAATAATTTAAAAAATTAATAAAAATTATTAATTTTATCTTAAATTTAATAATATCAAATTATTTTTATTTTATTTTATTATTATAATATTTATTTATGAAAATTTACTTTTTAAAATTAAAATAATAAAATAATAATATTAAAATATAAATTTTATATAGATTTTCAATTTTATTTATTTTATTTACTCTATAATTAAATTATTTAAGAATAAAAGTATTTATATAATAAAAACTTTAAATTATTATAATAATATTGAGTTTATAATCAGTTTTAAATTTATAAAAAAATTTAAAAAATATAAAATAACATATATAAAAAATTTTAAATAAAAAAATAATAATTTAATTTAATTTAATATAAGAAACTAAATTAGTTCATTTTTATTTAAATAAAATAAAAAAATTAAAAAAATTACTTTTTAAGATAAAGCTATAAGATTAAAAATCTCTATAATATAATTTAAAATTTAATTAAAATTTAATTTAACTTCTAAATTAATATTTAAAAAATAGTAATTTAAACTGAAAAATCTTTAAATCATATAATTTAATTTATAAATATAATTTTTTTTCAAGCTATAAAATATTTATATATAGTTTATATTATTTTTATATTATATTATATAATAGAAATCTAATAAAAAGAATAGAAAAATTAAATAAATTATTTTAATTATCTTAAAATAAAACTTTATATAAAATATTAAATATATTTAAAATATTTTTTATTATAAATATAAAAATAAAGATATTAATTTTATCATTACCTATTTAATTAATAATATTAAAAAAATTATTTTTTAAAAATAAAAAAAAATAAATATAAATTATCTAATTTAAAATAGATTATTATATTTAAATTATATATATATATATATATATAGAGTAAAGTTTTAAATAGAGAAATAAAATACTTTGAAAAATTAAAATATTTTAATTTTTTTTTAACTTTATAAAATATATATAATAATTGAAAAGTAATTATTTAATTAAAATATAAAAAATATAAAATTTATTAATAAATATATTTATTTATAACTTTATTAAAGAAAAGGAAAAAATTATATATATTAAAAATTATAAATAATTAATAAATAGAATTTTTTATTTTTATTATTAATAAATTTAAAAATAATCAAAAGTATTTAAAAAACTAAATATAATATTAAAATTTATTAAATTAAATTTTATATAAAATTTATATTTTAAAATATAAAAATAAAAAATAAAATATTTAATATTAAATTATTAATATTTAAAAATTTTTATAATAATAAATAAAATTATTACTTATTTATTAAATATTAAAAATATTTGAACTTTTTTATTATTAAATATTTTTAAAAAAAATTTAAAAATATTAAATTTAAATAATTTAAATAAATTTTAATATAATTTAAAAAAATAATAAAATAACTTAAAATAAAAGATAAAATTATTTAATTTTATTTATCTTAAATATTAATTTATATAAATATTATAAAAAATTAAAAATTATTTTTTAATAATATATTAAAATAATTAAAAAATCATATTTTAATAAAAGATAAAAACTTTGAAAAAAATAGTCAAATATATAAAATAATAAAAAAAATAAAAAAATTCTTATTAATAAAATTTAAATTTTTTTTATCTTTTATAATATAGTTAAAACTTAAATAAAATTACTTTAATTTTATATAAAAATAATTAAAGATTTTATAAATTTAAGTAAATATAAAATTTATGATTTAATTGAAAATTTAAATTTTTTTTAATAAAGTATTTATATAATAAAAACTTTTAATTGAATTTATAAAGAAAATTTAAATAAAAAATGTAGTTAAAATATATAATTAGTAATATTAAATATAAATATAATATTATTTATTATATATTTTATTATATACTTTATTTGTTCATTAATACTTTCTTTGAATTATTTATCTTTCTTTATTTTTGTATTTTAATTGTTTATTAATATTGTCATTTATTAAAATATTTATTTTTCTTAGTTTTGATTTGATTTTAATTTTTACATTACTTGCTTATTAAATTAAAATTATAAGTTTGTTTCTATTATAAAATTGTTTAAATGCTGTATTATTCTAAAATAAAATCTCATAATTATATATATTAAGTTATATTTAATAATTAAATTTACAAGATAGTTAAATCTTAGTTTAACTAAATAAATATCATATTTTTTAACTATATGTAAATGAAATGAATAATAATAATAATAGTAAAAATTAAGTATAATAATTTTTAATTTTTTATATCAAAAAAATAAAGAATTTATAAACTCAAACAGATATGATATTTATGACTTAGTTGAAAATTCAGATTATATTTTAATAAATTAATCATTAAATATTGATATTGAAAAGAAACTAAAAGAGAAATACTTTATTAGTCAATTAAATAACTCTATCTTCTCTTTTTAATATTAAATTAGAAAGAAGGTTTTTAATTAACTTTATAGAGAAATTAAAAACTGTCTTTAGAAAATAAATTCTAAATTCAAATAAGATATATATTTAAAGTATGAAATTAATAATATTAAATTGAATATTATATTATTTTTTCTATATTTTATTTATTTAGCAATATTTTCTCTGAAATATTAATCCTTTTTTATATTTTATTTATTTATCAATACTTTCTTAAAAAATAAATAAATTTCTCTTTCTTTATTTTTTGATTTGAATGTTTAAATTGATTGCTTATTAAATTAAAACTATATAAATTTGTAATCTACTAAGATTGTTTAAATACTATATCATTCTGAATTGAAATCTTATAAATACATATGATAAGTTATATTTGTTAATTAAATTTATAAAATAGTTAAATTCTAGTTCAAATAGAAAAAAGTTATAGTTTTGACTACATACATCTAAAATGAGAAATAATAATAATAATAATAGTAATGACCAAGGAAGTGGCAATGTATTTCATAGAAATGATTATCTTGTCATACTCTATAAAGAAAAGATGATCATTTCATACAAAGAAAAGATGATCCTCTCGTATAAAGAAAGACGATCATTTCATATAAAGGCGGGGTAATATGAATATCCTTAGAGAAGTAGTGACCACTGCAAAGAGATGGGTTTTATGACGTAGAAGACACAGTGCCAAGAAGATATCTTTGACAAGATCTTGTGATTATGACAATATCACATCACTTTGAGCATGTGATGATTTGCTTAAATCTTGTTCATAAGAATGAGACTGTTCTACACTATGTATCATCTACAAATAATGTGATAAATGATCTTATCAAGTCACTGAGAGCCACTAAGTTTGCTCACTGAAAGAAGATTATAAAGGTAAGAAAATGAGTTCTTTCTTTAACTCTCTCCTTTTTTTTCTTCTTGTTTTTCTTTTTCTTTTTCTTTTCTTTTCTTTTCAACTGGTTTTTTCATGATCTTGTTTTTCCAGTTGATTTTAAACCTGTACTAGGCAGTAGGCCTATTGTTGTATAATATTGAGTACTCCTACTCTGGTGAGTTCGGATTGTCGGACACTCTAGTCACGTGACATATTTTTCCACCATATCTTAGTGTCATCAACCAAGCTTGCCATTCTGTCAGAAGTTACATGTTTGATAACATAAGAAGCCTGGAAAGAAACACTGAAAGCAGACTGAGTTTTCTTAACAGCTTTAAGCGAGCAATTGACAATGAAATAATGGTCAGAAAAGTGCAGATTAAGAATCAATTGGTTCTAACAGTTAGACAGAGCTTAAATACACTTTCATGAAATTTAAGCCAGTGATTAACCAACTATAAGTTATATAAAATATTGTTACTTTATCCTGTATGTTTTCTTATATAACTTAACCACCAGTTTACTCAAATTTGCAGAAAATTGAACGGTACGCTCAGGTATCTGCTAGCTTTCAGTTGAATATATTTTCATCTTTCAATTTGAAGAAATAGGCTTGTTTGAGGATTCGCGGTTAATTCATTCTACTAAAAAGATGTAATAGGCTGACGCCTGGTTGATAACCTCTCGTAACCAAAGCTCCTTCGCCCAGATTAACCTTCTTCCGCCCTAACCTGTATAATACTCTGCACCCAACCTTCGTAGCTTTCATTCTCCTTTCCTTTCTACTAACGAATTCGTCCTTTTTGTTCTATAAGGAAGTGCTAGGGCCGTATCCGGTACCGTTACAAAATCAAGCATCAGTACACTGTAGTAAATGTGGCAAGACAGGACATTAGAATCCCTGCATGCTCATGGAGGTAAGGAAATAATGTATATATTTTTCTCCAATAGGTATTTCCATATCATTCATTGTTGTTTAATTTGAAAATTTTTCAAATGCAAGGTGGGGTGCTTTGTTCCCGTAACTTAGTTGGTCCGTTCAACCCATCACCGTTCCAGAGTCATGTGATTACTGTTTAACTTCTAGCACCAGCTTATGTCATCCGTTGGAATCTCTGACAGAATTTATTTTCGACTGCCGTCAAACCCGCCAACTAAAAAATATGATCAGTAGCTCGCAGCTACACCCGCAGTGCTTCTGTGCAGTTATTCGACATTCTTCAATAATATCACGGGAGTGGGAGAAAACTAAACATTTTCCATCCATTTTTTCTTCCATTCCTCTCTCTTGATAAGTTGTTTTAAAAAAGCAAAGGGAAAAGAAGAAAAAATCGATCGACAATAATGCCCGGAGACTCCCCAACATTCGGGCCTAAGCCCAAATCCTCAGTCCCATCCTACCTCCTAAATGGAACATCATCCACTTGCATGCCAAGCAATGTGCGAGAGCGCGAGAACCTCCATTCCTCCATCAAATTTTCCTTCGCCCGGAGACAGGTCATTGATCCAGAGCTTCCTTCAGAACCACCATTACCATTACCTGCTACTGCTACGGGGTTATCAATTGTGTGGGATGCAGTGACTCCAGCAACTACTACAAATAGCTCTCCAGATACTGACAACTCCTATGTTCGAGTTAATGGCATACCTGTGAACGAGGGTGGAAAGTCCAATCAGAATGAGCATGAGCATGAAAATGAGATTGAAGAAGACCATGTTGGTAGACCGATAGAAGCGCCTATCATTTTGAATGCCGCCCAAATTTCTTCCGGAACAAATTTCAGCAGTGAACCCCCGTATGATCCTAGACCGATAGAATCGCCTGTCATTTTGAATACCTCTCAAATTGCTTCCGGAAGAAATTTCAGCGGTGAACCCCCGCGTGATCCTAGGGATCATACGGGACCCTTAACGCCTTCTTCCATTGCCAGCCGGTCTGAGAGCCCGTACACAGTAAACCCGCCGATTGATTTTGATGGACTTAGTTGGCCAAGTATGTCATCAACCCTCTGCATCCTCTCTTCCCCCCCCGTTGCTATATTCAATTTCCCTTGAAAGCGCATTTTATTAACAAGTATTCGTGCAGGTGTTGGTACCCGCAAACGCCTAGACTCATCACCCGAAGAAAGCGAAAAGCGCATGCAGAAACTCGCAGACGCCGTGCGGACAATTTTAGAATGTATCGGAGAAGACCCGCAGCGGGAAGGGCTGCTAGGCACGCCGGAGAGATATGCCAAGGCTCTGATGTATTTCACGAAGGGGTATGAGGAGAACGTACGCGATCAGGTGAACGGCGCTGTTTTCCATGAGGACCATGACGAGCTAGTTATCGTGAAGGACATTGAGGTGTTTTCGCTGTGCGAACATCATATGGTGCCGTTTACGGGGAAGGTATGTAAGGCATTTTTGCCACCCACTCCGTATTAGCCCGTGTTCACCCTATCCCATACATCCAAAAACAGAGAAGACAAGGGCAAAAATAACCCCATACAACAGATGCACATCGGCTACATCCCGAATCGCCGCGTCCTAGGCCTCTCCAAGCTCGTCAGACTGGCAGAGATGTTCTCGCGCCGCCTCCAGGTGCAAGAACGGCTGACAAAGCAAGTCGCCCTCGCAATAGCTGAAGTGCTAAAGCCACAGGGTGTCGCTGTAGTGATGGAGTCCAGCCACCTGTGCATGGTGATGCGTGGTGTACAGAAGAGTAGTAGCACGACGACTACGAGTTGTATGCTGGGCTGTATGCGAGCGAGCGCGAAGGCGAGAGAGGAGTTTCTGAGTTTGTTTAATCGGAAATAAAACTGGGAAATATGAGACATGTGACATGCGATATGAACATATAACTTTCCTCTTGCTTCAGGCTATGATCCCCGCTGCTCCTGGTTGGATGGCTTTTGTTTTGGTTCTTTTTGGATGTCTGGGCTGGTATGAAACGACATATCAACTCGACACACGCAGGCAACATGTGCCTCCTGTCTACCCCCCTATACCATACTTTACCGATCCGATCCCATCTCACAATGACATGCTTCTGTCCCTCCCCGTTCGAAGAGACACCTCCATCTGGACATTGGCCCGGCCTAGCAGTTTTGCAACATCTCAACTATCACCATGCTTGCCAATTGCCCCATTTCATATCTGTTTTCAACATGGAGTTTTTATTCGGTTTTTTATATTCAAGGAGAACCTGTCGCGAAGAGGATTCACTAACACTGGAAGGTAGTTGCTCTTTCTTTTCTTTTTATTTTTCTTTTTCTTTTTCTTTTTCTTTTAATGCCCCTTCCGCCTTTCAACAGGCAACCTGTTACCATATATACTTGGACTGGGTTTCTTCATTTCTAACATTAGTTACGCATTTCCGCTTCAAAGATTTCTTGTTCTGTTTACGTATCCTACCTCACCTTTCAAAGACACTCTGGATATCTATATGTATTTTTCAACCCACGCCTCCAGATACCCTCTTATTTTCACCATTTCATTCTCTTTCCTTTCTTGAATCCAACTTCAAGGAGGTAACTAGACATGAAAAAGACAGGCTATATTATATGTCTATGGAAAGCATGTACATATAGACACCCACGTACAATCCTTATGGAGCCCCTTGCCCCTGTTGCTTCTCTTTTTCCAACCCTTACCATCCGAGATATTACACCTCTCGTCGATTTTTTCCGATGTTCTTTTCCAAATGCATCTTCATTGGAAATATTATGTATGGGATGGATGACTTAAAACTCACATTTTGATTTTACTATTCCTCTCCCGAATTTTAACTGGGAGAGACATGTTCCTCCTCTGTGTCATGTTCCTTTCATTGTTCCACTTTTGTATATTCTTCGTTGGCTTCGTTGGCTCCTCAACGCCAATGGCTGTACATTCGTAATATATAAATAAGTAAAAAAAAAGGATCCTTCTATCAAAGCAAAGAAAATTCCCCAAGATCCCCTGGCTATATTTTTTACATCCATTCTTACTCTCCCTCTGCTATTGTTTTGGTATACGGAAGGAATCGTGGGCATACCTCGAAAACTGTTCTCATGGCCATTCACAGCAAGCAGGAAGCGGCAACCGCATACGGTGAACACAGTTGCTGTGTGGTTCTAAGCAAAACAGCACAACACCAGGGCGATGAAGCATCTGCTGGTGACACACTTGAAAGAGTGCGATATGTATCAACACAATCAGGCTTATCCCATATACCTCAAGTATTGTTTATCTCAGCAACAAATATACCTTGTTGACTTTCTTTCTTCTTCTCGTCTTCCTCTTCCTCTCCCTACCATCGTCATCACCCCTTCCGCTCCTTCATTCCACCCCATTCCTTTCTCTATCCAAGTCGCTCTCTCAACGTGTCGATAACGTCCATCACCACCAGATAGATAGCCTTTAACCTTCCAGCTCTTTTCGCTCCTTCTCTTTCATTTGCACGTCACGTATCTGACTTGTCTGTTCTCGAGCATCAGGATCGGACGCGTGTTAACTTCTTCAAAAACCCCTACCTTCACTGCGCGGTTTGCACTTCACTTCACCAACCAACTCGTCTTGCATGGTCGTATATCATACAACCAAACACACTCTCATTCACAACCTTGCAGGGGAAAAGATTAAAGTATTATTTATCTGTCCCATCTAGCCTTGAGCATCTTTTTCATCTGTCAATCTACCCAAACACACTCACGTGTTTACGTTCCCACTCCTTTTTTCTCTGCCCGTCGCACCCCCAGTCGCTTGGATAGACACGGACGTGTAAAGCTTCCTCAACTTCACTCTACTCCTTTCTGTTCTATCTGTAGTAGGGGTCTACTTTGCATTTCTTTCAGGACTATCTGATACCCATGGAGCAATTCCGGGGTAATCGGCCCGCGATGTGGGCCGCTCAGGACCAAGGCGGAAGCCATGGTCGCCCTGTGCAGCCATCTTATGGACAGCCACTATGCCAAGCTCCTTATCCAATGCCGGCGTACCAAGAACACCCACAACCTCAGGCCCCTTATCTGGTACAGCATCCGGGAGGGCCCTCTGTCACGTCTCAGTACCAGGTAACCCATCAGGGAGGGCCACCTCCCTCAGCTCCCCACTGGGTGCCATATCATGGAGCACCACATGCCCCAGCTCCCTACCAGATACAATATCAGGTACATCCACCAGCTGCGGCTCCTTATCAGGGCTCATATCACGAACAGCAACGAGCCCCAGCTCCGTATCATGTACCGCATCACGAGCAGCCACAATCCCTGGCTCGGCACCAGATGCTAGGGCTTGGGCAGTCACAATTCAATGTTCCACACCACATGGAATATGATGGACAGCCCCAGGTTCAGGCTCAACACCATATCGAACAGCATGGACGGTCCCAAACTCAGGCTCAACACCATGTACCACATTATGGACAGCACCAAGCTCAGGTTGGATACCATACACCACATCATGGACAGCCCCAAGCTCAGGTTGGATACCATACACCACATCATGGACAGCCCCAAGCTCAGGTTGGATACCATACACCACATCATGGACAGCCCCAAGCTCAGAATCAATACCATGCGCCATATCATGGACCAACTGGGGCTCAAGCCAGGCCCCATGGCCACCTTCAAGAAAACCGTCAAGCCCAGGACCGAGCCCAACAGCAACCCATGCCTAGGAAGAAAGCCATTCCTCGCAGGCAATCTATGCAGACCCGAGCCCAAGCCTTGCACCAAGGCCAGCTTATAGAGAACGATGAAGTCCAGGGCGAAGCCAAACAGCAGGCCACAAAGCAGGCCACCCCTCAAAAGCTAGTTCCGAAAGCTCAACCTACAGCCCGAGCTACAGCCCGGCCTCAAATCCAGTATAAACCGAAACATCAAGCTCAGTTTCAAGCCCAGCAACGGGCCATGCACCAGCAGCGGTCCATGGATCAACGACAGGCCATGAACCAGCAGCAGGCCATGACACAGCAGCTAGCGCAATTGTCATCGCCAGTATCACCGGAAACTCTACAGCGTAGGAAGCTTCCACATCCCCGTGAACCAGTGCTCCCAGGGCTGGGTCTCTTTCCACCAGCACCTATAGTCCTTCCAGCGCATGGTCGTCAGATGGTAACCGGGTTGCTACCGCAACCACAACAACATACACAAGAAGAAACACTAAGAGGGAGATGCGGGTCTGCACTTACGTCTGCAATTGCGCCTGCATCTGCATCAGCACCTTCACTTGCCCCTAAACAGGAACAAGAACCAGAACCAGCGGTACCGTCAGAGCAGGATAGACGCCCCTCAAAAGACTTGCAGGAAATGGGGAATCCAGAGCCTAATGCGAAGGAACTTCTTGACATTCAGGATGTCAAGAGGGTAGGATACGCATTGCTGCCACCATCACCTCCACATCATCTTCCACCATTGGGGCAGTATGCATGCATCAACCGAGCCGCAACACAACAAGAGAATGAGTTACCAAGAGGAATTGGGAATAAACGAAAGGCTCCAAAGGGACATCTGGGAAACTACAGCCACAGCGGCGTTTCCATTTCTCAAAGCTCTGATCAGGGACTTAGCAGATACAATACAGAAGAAACGACACTCCCTCGCAAGAAACCACGTCTGCAAGAGGACTCCGACCTCATTGAGACAGCAATCACAGATCCAGGGCCGGAACTCGCTTTGCAAGGGCCAGAGAATGTGAGGTCACAGAGTGACGGTACTGTTGCGCTAGCGATAAATGATGGTATGAAAGATACTCGCAGTCAAAGTCTGCATGTTGAGGTAAGGATAAAGACACTATTGACACAGAGGGAAGAGCTAAAACAGAACCCTTCAATAGGCCCCTTCTGCTAGATATGATACAGCCCATGCCGGTCCTCCAATGCCAAAGTCCGACGCGAGAGCATCATCGGGATATATCCATGGTCCCATAGAATCCAAGTCCAATGCTCAATCGAGTGCAGAAGCCACAGTAACAAGTGAGAAAACTTACAAGGATCCTCTACCTATGTTACTAGACGCAGCTGAACTTATTTTAGGCCCGTTGATACCCAAAGGCATGTTCTCAAACTCACAGAAGGCTGGTAAGGAGAAGCTAACTCCAAAACAGAAGGAGTTGGTTCCACTTCACAAACTCAGTTGCTTCCCCAATCCGAGGAGACACGCGAGACTCGCCCTGAAGCTAAAAGCTAAAACTGCCGCCAAAGCCCGTGGCGACAGTAAGCAATCGTATCTTCCGAGTCTCACGGGTACCTGCCACGGTACGGAGATTTTGCAGTTCCCGCCATGGCCGGGGGTGCTACGGTATATCAACCCTCAGCCGCTAGACAATCTCTTCCCCGGAACTTCAGGAGAATCACGATCTTATTGTCGAAGGGTTGGAGAACGTACACAGCCTAATATGCCGCTATCCAGTCTTTCTCGTTCTGCTATTTGTGCAAATCGCCAACTTGAACGTGGTACGCGTATTGGGGCCCATCAATATGAAAATTCCTTCAATATTTTCCAGGAGTTTCTCAAAAGACCGGATATGGTCCTGGTTCTAGCTCATCATATGCGTGTACAGGAACTTTTGATTTTATATCGCATTTCCAGAGATTTTCACAACATCATCAACAGTCGTTTCAGAACAGTTATTCAGGCACAAGCGACACTACGCGCTCCACAATCTGCTGAAATTTTCCCACCCCGCTGTTATGCAAAACTGTGCAATCCAGACCCTGGTTTACGTCCTCATCCTGTTGCTTCTCGTGCTGCGTGGGGGGAGGTACGCAAAGTTCCGTCTTTTCGCTGGCTGTTGATGGTATGTTATCGAGAAATGGTCTGCCATCAGATTATCAC